AGCGCAGCAGAAACACGGAGCCCTTACCCACGCAGTTGTCACACATGCTGCAGTGAGACGTCCTGGGAGGCCTGAACATTTTGCAGGTGAAGCAGTACTTGAGCTTCACCACCTGGTTGTTGATGACGACCTCTTTCGTCCGTGGGGGGGGGCGGTACGTGGAGGAACCTGAGCTATCTGCGGGGCGTTTGGGAGGCAGAAAGGGAGAGAAGAAAGCGCTATTTTAAAGTCAGGGACTTCGGTGTTCACACATGCTCCGAACGTTGACTCAAAGCAATATAACTCGTTTGCCTTCTGGGTCCAAGCATCCCGAACAAAAATCTACTGTTTGTTAGAGCACTGGATTTTAATTTCTGGAATGAGGATTTCAAACCATGTTGTTGTAATGCAGGATAAGATAATCATTTCTCAACAGGTCTCCAATCCAGACACCTACTGTAGGAACAGACAATCAAAAAGAAATCACACAGACCATGGACTTTCTTACTCAGTGGGCTCACTTAAGAATGAAGCAAAATATTGCACAAACCATTGAAGGCTCAGGACTTCACCACCATAAACTACTAAAGCTCCATAGACAGCAAACCGTAAAAAGTTTTCACGCTCTTTTAAAAAGAGATAATGAATTTAGAATCTATTTATAATGGGCTAGATTGCAATTGTTTAGAAATAATGGTTGATCATTAATATTCAGCAAAATGTCTTCTGTTAAATGATCTCTGACATCTGGTGCCCTTTTTTTGTCTTTTTCTGAGGAAAACAAGACACTACACCACAAAAGTGGTATTTTGTACTGTGACTACAGCAACACATAGAAAACGCTGGGGAGGCAGTCCAGTCAAGCCATCACGTGTCCTGCGTGACAGGAATGGAGTGCACAGCATTGGAAGCACAGATCAAGTCTTATTACCATCAACCTCTGCCTATCGCACGCAAAACCCAGTCATGTTGTCAGCCACATGAGTCAATTTAAGACTACGAGCCACGTGAACCTCACACTGCATATGAGCTAGAAAGATCTCTTCAACAATAATTAGGACACAGCTTTCTTTTGATCATTTGCGCAAAGAGCAACTTCATCCCACCCAGACGTACAGAGAATCAAAGCTGCATTCTAGATCTACCACCCAGTTCAAAGGCTCTACAGAGTGGAGTCAAATATGTGAGCCTAAAGCAGTCAGAATCTGCGTCTAGCTGCATTTCGTATCCCAGTTATGATGACAAAAAAAAATCTATAAGCCTGACATAT